ACATTATTTGAGTTTATTATAAGAAAGAGGAGTTTAGAACCACCTCTTCCAAATTTAAAAACATTTTTCTTCCTTTTCTTCTACTAACTTTTTCTCACATGCACATTTGTTGTTAAGCAATTCATTATGTAGGTCTTTAATTTCTTTCATGGTTACTTTCATACAATAAAGCATTACAGTGCTTCTAGATCTTGATAGAATTTCTCCAGAAGGAGAAAGAAGCTTTGTGTTAGTAATTACCTAACATTGTTGGGAGCTGACTGCAGGCTTCTTCCCAGTGATAACAGAATAACCACATAATGCAGCTTCATAGTACATGATTAATAGAAAATAATTACACATCTTACAAAGGAATGCAATAATTCTTATAAATTGACTGGAATGGTTTCATGCAGATTAAAGGACTCTTCATTATTTTATCAGTCTTTTTGAAGCTGAATCAATTGCCAAAGCTGTAAGAAAGAGCTGATGGGGAGAGTACACAGTATATCTACACGTACAGAAGTTTATCTATATCTGAATAGAATATGAATAAATAGGTTGTATGTGAGATTCGTACTATATTTGTTATTCATTACAATTAAATATCTGACTCTTGAGACTGCCTGATATTTAAATTCAAGCTCCACCCTAAGCATTTTTTTATTTTACCAGTGATATAAGCAATTCATGATTTCTTAAATGAACTTAATGCTCTTAAGGAGCTGCTTCATAATATACATTATTTTGACTCTGAACATTAAATTGTAGTAAGTGATGACATAAATCTTGTTCTATTCTGATTGTTCTTTAAAATATTAAATCAATATTTTAGACAAACATTTAATAATAATCTATGCCTGGAAATCTATATTTTGAACAGTATATAGAATATTGAAATTGCAGCAATACTTGGGTTTTCTCTAGAGGTGACTGTTGAATTCTGTTCTTTTATATTTGTGTGTGTGTTCATATGCAGAATGGGCATATAACTCTGAGGGTAGCTACTAGCCAAAATCAGTTGCCTTTTATTGTTGCTGAAAGTAATGTATACATAAAGATGCTATAAAAGTGTGGTTAAATTGATTTGTAAGTGCATACAAAAGTTAAACACATTCTAAGAAAGGGGTGTAAGCAAATTAACTAGTTAAAAATGGATGTCTCTATAGTAATGGCAGTAACCTAAGGCTAAAACATTACATTTCCAATGTAGCAGTTCATTTTTTACCCTTTCCTACTTGCTTATACTTCATATGCTTTAATTGGGATTCAGATTGCTAGTGAGGTTCATATCAAGAATAATAATGATAAAGTAAGATTTGAGTGTCTGAAGCTTATCTATAAATTAGCTTCTGATACTATTACACTTCCATTACCATAATATTTAAAATCGGAGAAGTGCGTTAAATTTAAATATTCTTTAATAGCAAGATGTTTTTTGGGAGGGGAGCAGGAGAATTTAGTATTTTAATTTGAGGTTAACCTCCTAGAGGTGGTTTTCCTATCACTGTCAAAATATGTTGTTTATAAATTTCTGAAATATCTACATGGGATATTTTCATTCTGTCATGAAAAGTTTTAATTATCCCTTAAGTAAAATAGCACTCTACAGAAAGTCATGATTGCTCTTTGCTCTATTCTCCAGCACACATTTACAAAAAAAAAAAAGTTATTTTGGAAAGCTTCCTTGGCAAGTTTCCTCTAGCACAGGTGAAGACTGGCATTATGAGTGATTACTTGCACTTTAAATCTGTAGAGAGGTAGATTGTGTATTTAAGCAGGCTAATGTGGAATGAAACATGTGTTTATTAAACAAACACGCACAGCTGGAACATCTGAACTCCCTGGTGAAACAGCAAGTGCCTCTTTGCCTTTAAGGGTTTTGGCCTCAGAACAATCAGTCCAGCAAGAGTCATTCTTACTGTAGCTGGTAAGCAAGCTTGCTTGCTGAATTGCACTGGTGAACTAGCATCATGTATAGCCACAAGGGAATAAAGAAGTCAAGAGTTTTTCTTTGGAGCTGCTCTTTTATCCTGATGGCAAATGAGGTAAAAGCAGAACTTGGTGATGTGATTTATTGGTTAAATGAATATATTAAGATCTGCCTAATGGCTTTTAATATCTCAACCTTATAGAAGACTTAACTTTTCCCCAGTACGCAGAATTGTCTTCATTACTAAAACTAAAGCAAAAATGTCTGCTACTTTATGTTAAAACATAATCTGAAGAAACCTTCTCCTCAAGGTTTGTGTCAAATGAAAAATAAAGATAGACCTGAGATGGGAGGAGATGTAGAGGGACAGCTTCAGGAAGAAAGGCAAATTTGGGGTTATAAACAACTGGGATAATGGATAGGAGTAGGTAGGAAACAAATGTGAACTGAAGATAGCAGGGATACAAAGCATCTATGGGCTATTAATAGATTAGGGTTAATAGATCTGGTACAAGTTAATCAGATCATTTGAAGAAAGCCCTGGAAGGGATGGAAGTAATTTTGGTACCTTGCTGTTTCTAGTCCGTTAAATGCTATGGAAGGACGAGTGATTTTTCACCCCATATAATGCCTAAATTCCATCAGAATGCCTGAATGCTTAGCTTCAGATAAAAGCAGACTGGCAAACACAAACCACTACAACAGAATTCTCTCTAGGTCTATTATATTTTCCTCGTTTTTTTTTTTTTATTTAAAAAAAAAACAGTTTGCCATCAGTCTGACTTTTGAACAAGGAATTTGTTTTCTTCTGTTTCCTTTGGCACATACAGGTGAAACTTGAAAAATTAGAATATTGTGCAAAAGTTCATTTATTTCAGTAATGCAACTTAAAAGGTAAAAGTAATATATGAGATAAGATAGTTCAAGCTGTGACTTGTCATAATTGTGATGATTATGGCGTACAGCTCATGAAAACCCCAAATCCACCACCTGAGAAAATTAGAATATTGTGCAAAAGTTCATTTATTTCAGTAATGCAACTTAAAAGGTAAAAGTAATATATGAGATAAGATAGTTCAAGCTGTGACTTGTC